GGGGGAGAGATAAGACCACTCTGGGGCCAAGCTTCTGGAGCGGAGATTCCACCTCTTATTTCTTCTTTATTTCAGCTTTCAAGCCCCACCTCTACTGAAACAGCCATTCTTGCATCTCTCCTTCCTGCAAGATTCCAGCTGGAGATCAAATTTTGTCTAAGAATGACCCAGGCAGGCCAACACACCTGCTTGGGCTTTAGTCCCCTTCAGCCGTAAGGATGGCAAGGTGCACTCCCACGTCCTCCGGGGTCCCAGGGTCTGATGCCTCCAGTGGCAAAGATTTTCCAACGCAAATCTAGTTGTCTATCCACCCAGGCCCCTTACCTGCTGAAAGAGCAGGAGAGTGGATCCTGACCGGACACACTGCCAGCCTCCTCCCCAAACCCCGGGGGTGAGGTGTCAGGGGGTGGGGGAGAAGGGGAGAGAGATAAGACCACTCTGGGGCCAAGCTTCTGGAGCGGAGATTCCACCTTATTTCATCTTTATTTCAGCTTTCAAGCCCTACCTCTACCGAAACAGCCATTCTTGCATCTCTCCTTCCTGCAAGACTCCAGTTGGAGATGAAATTTTGTCTAAGGATGACCCAGGCAGGCCAACACACCTGCTTGGGCTTTAGCCCCCTTCAGCCGTAAGGATGGCAAGGTGCACTCCCACGTCCTCCGGGGTCCCAGGGTGAGACTTTGGGAAGAGCTGGGCCCTTGCTATGGGAAAGAAATGACCGGTTCTTGTGGGCAGTGATTGAATGTAGCAAATCAGACCCCAAGGCCCCTTCTCAACTCTCTTGGGTACTGGGTACCGGGGGTTATTAAAAAAACACAACAATGCGCGCTCTTTGAACCGCATTGGCATGGTGTGGGGGAGCAAAGAGGGTGGATGCCACTAAACTTGAAAAATCTGTAACAGGAGTGTTACGTGTTTCGATTTTTTAAAAAGACCTGCAGACACTGAACTGTGAAAGGTGGCAACACTGGGCGCATTCTGCCGCGGAGCCTCCAGCCCTGTCCCCCGCAGCCCGGCAGAGAGAGGAACGCAGCGCTGTGCGCTCCTGGCACTCCCATTCCCATTCAACACTTCCCCATGGAGTTGTGGCTCCTGGTGTAGGGGCGGGGACTGCACAACTGTTGGGAGAAGAGATATGTAGTTTGAAAAACTCCAAAAGGGTTCTGTAATAGGTTACCCACTTCCGCGCCCTCTAATCCGCCGCACACCGCATCTCCGGGGCGTCGGCGTCGGAAAACTCTGCGTTTGGAAAAAAAATTCATTTCATCGTCTGGGCTATTCCAGGCTCTATTTCCGTAAATTCCACTAGACAGAGAGTGCAAGCCCTTAGCACGTTTTGTTTTCCGTGGTTGTAATCAATGGTCCCCTGGCTGTAGACGTTACCCTGGTCCACTCCCAAGTCGCAGAGACTAGTCAAAGCCGCCAGGATAGGGGGGTGCGCGGTGCTGTTGTTTTCCCACGCTCTCCCAGCCCGGAAGCAAGGCTGGGGAGAGGGTGCACGCTCCTGGCTACCTGCAGAGAGAAAGGGAATGTTTCCCAAAGACCGGTTCTCAGCCCTGGCCACCGGAGAGGGGACCGAAAAAACTAACTACACGAGTTAATGCTTCCCACCAGCCACCTAGAAGCCAGGCTCCCAGTGCGCCCATTACCTCCTGGCGGAGTCCCCTGGGACTCACCTTCCGAAGCTCCTCAACCCCTTGGCAAGTTCAGTAGCCCAGCCCCACCACCTCAGGCTCGCCTTTCCCAAACCCAGCACCTGAGCCTTCTTTCCTGGCTGCTTCCCTCAGTTCTGCTGAGAAAAGGAGAGGGAGGGGGTGTGAATAGCTATGGGTATGATCCAGTCAGTCACCAGCTACAGGAATCAACTCAAAACCTGTATCCTCAGGCTGGCACCCAAAAGCCTAAGGAGAGAGAGGGGTGAGGGAGAAGAAGTCAATGTGCACACTTCCCTTCACGGAAGGGACAAGCCTCCATTCACAGGCTTCCTCTGGTTGCACACAGAGGCCAGACCTCCCTGAGGCCAGTGCTCCCAAGGCAAGGCCGTCAGGGCCTGGTCTGCCCCTCAGGGCATCTGCTGGGACTGAGGGAAGGAAAGGAGGCAGATAGTAGGCTAAGGTGAGCAACCCTGGACAGTGCAAGACACAGTGCGTGGAGACTGTCCAAGCCAGGAACCACGCTGCTGCCCTGCCAGTGGACCTCGCACACACATTGTTCAGAGAGCCTCGGTCAGTCACACCAAATCTCAGCTCCTGGAGGTGACCGCAGTCCGTGAGGTTTGCCTGGTCTGAAGTTTGTTACCCTGGAAAACAAGGATGGATTTTCTTTGTTTGATCCAAGCAGACAAGACCCCAGAGGTTTTTAGAATGTTCTCCCAAGTGAGTTGCTTGAACCTGTCCCTAAAAGACCCCGTGGCCTTCCCTCTCTATTCCTGCCACACACTTGGAGGCTGTATCCAGATAGCGGGACCACTTTTTGCTAAGCAGGTCCCTGGGGACTCCAGAGCAACTTCTAGTTCCATAGATGTTGAATGGAGGCGCAGTTGTATTGTGGGAGGAATCAGGAGCTGCCCCTGCTGGGGCCTTCAGTTGGTGTTCTTGCCAGGACCCTCTATTTCCTCCAGGCCTGGCTGCTCACCAGCCAAGTTGGCAGCAAACACACAACCGATAGCCTGTGGCTAAAGAGGGTAGGAAGGGCCGGCTGTGAGAAGGAAACAAAGACTAAGCGTGTACATGCAGGGTGAGGATGGTGTGATTGGAAACGCTGCAGGTCCTGTGGTTAGATCTCTGCCTCTTTCTCCAGGTTCTGTTACTTCCCTCTGAGGGGCATGTGTTTTGAAATGGCCACAGGCAGCTGGTCTTCACTATATCTGTGGAGTCAGAAAGCAAAGCAATGTTTTCTAGTAGAAAAGGTTTTATGACATGAATTGACTCAATGAAATCAGTTACTTTAAAAAAGAAAAGTAACTGAAAGTTCACCTATGAAGCTCAACTCAGGTGCTTGCCAACTAGTTTCTGGTACATCCATGTACTGATTCCCAAAGCACTAAGGCTCCCAGTTATCTCAGCACGCACTGTCCAATTGCAGGAAAGTAACCACTCTTAAAGGGCCAGGCAAAGAAAATGGAGGATGCAGTTCCTTGGGCTTGTTACACGAACTGCAAAAGTCATTTTTAAAGATCATGTCCATCCCTTTTCCTCAGTCTGTCCTTTGTAATGGGTTCTGTTCCTGGCACATCTGTATATAATAATGTCTAGAGAAGTCATT